GATGCGTGACCGGGGGAGGGGTCGGGTTCGGGGGCGTGGCCGGGGGAGGGGTCGGGGTGGCGCTGGCGTTGGCCGTGGCCGTGGCGGCGGGGGTGGCAGGGGTCTGGTGGTGGAACGGCGGGGGGAAGGGGAGCGGCGCGTCCGGCGGCAGCGCGCGGAGCGGGAGGATGGCCTGCGGTTCCGGCATTCGCGTCGGCTTCGGTAGAGGAGAGCCGGGGACGCTCGTGGTTTTGGGAGGGTTTGCTTGCTCGCTCGCTCGCTCGCTCGCCTCGCCTTCGAATCGAAGGAAGGGCGACCGTAAGATGTGGGTTTTTTTTAACTCTTACCGGGGGGGTTATGTTAGGGGTGCTCCGGAAATATTTGGAATCAGATAAACGTAAGTGAAATTTCAAATGGGGCGCTCTCCTATTTGATGCAAGCTTAGGAGATTTGGATCACAATTCACACAATCCAGGCATAGGCACCCGTCTCCTTTCTTTATCTTCACATCACACATTCAAAATTTCCTGTTTCTGCTATGCGATTTGGGCTTGAGAACAATTTATCGCGAACTTTGTAGACCCATAAAGAGTTGATGTTCTCATCCATAGTTTACACTAGAATCGCCACGTAAGATGTAACCAACAGAACAGACGGAATTATAAGCATACCCAACTCAAAATATCTGATAATGTTGCGGCAGGACGGATCTTTAACAACATTGGTTTTTAAGCAATACATTTAGAAGGACCACAACAGAAAAGAAGCACATCCAACACATCGACTTATTTCCATTAGAGACAACACTGACTGCAAGTAGATTTCTATAACAAAATTGATGGCACCAGCCAGCAGTGATCCACTACCGCTTGCACTTCGCTTTCGCCATTTTCTTCCTCTTCTTCTTATCGGCCTTGGGGATCTTCGTCTTGCGAGTTTCCCTCTTTTCCTCCTTCACTTTCTTCTTGTTTTCCTTGCGAGCAGCCTTCCTTTCCTCGGGCCCCATCTTTGTGGACTCGTGCCACGAACCGTCTTCGTCGGATCTAGAGCAGGACTCACTGTCACCCGATTCATCTTCCTCCTTGTTCTCCAACGAGCACTTAGTTTGCAGGTCCAAGGGTTCTTCCCGTGTTTTCTGTGCCGGCTGTGCTTCCTGGTTTTCGGTAGGCTCATTTTTAGCCCGCACAAATCCTAACAGTGGCTGGTCATAAAGCTTATCTGCTGTTGGCTCATAACCAACAGATGGGCGTTGCATCATTGACATGCTGACAATATCTGCCTCACATTGCTTCACATAATCCAACGTCTATCAAAAAGAGCAAAGCAGGTAATATTATTAGTAAGTGAACTGTATGACACACAGCACAAATATATGAAAGAAACAAAATAAACACGAAGTAGTTACAAACTCGTATAAGAGATCTGGAAGACAAGATTAACTGGAATCAGACCAATGAATTGTGTACATGAGATAAAACAGTTACCACAAAGGTAATGTCAATACCTTGAATCAAAACATAGTATAAAATAGTGATGATTGACGAGTAACAGATATATGCAATAAATAAACATATGCCTCAGATATTAAGGTCCCTCACTGGAGAAATGAAGATGCTCACTGTTGTAAACTACTCCAGTACAACTTTGTACTAACTCAGCGACACTTATTTTGGGACGGAGGGAGTATATTTCTGGCAAAGCTGCACAAATGCATAGTACAATATTCATATTCCTACCTGCACCAAGACTGTCGGAGCAATTTCATCATCATCTGCAGCTGTATCTCCATTTTCCAAAATCTTTTGTTGAACCTGTTGTAACCACAATATTGTTAACCCGTCAGATCTTCTGTCCAAGGATGAGCATAGTATCACGCAAAAATCGATGATTGCAAAGTAATGTAACTACTGAAAGTAAAATAAGGACATGCCTTCTCCAGGTAATCATCAACATCTTCATCAGCGATATTTTGATCCACAACAAAATTAAATAGCTCTGTTACTGTCATGACAGGAATGCCTCGTTTTTCAAAGAAATCCTGAAAACAGCATTGCACACGTATAAATACCACGAGTTATCCATGTCTGGTCAATTTTAATTTAATTTTACTCACATTAACATGCAAGCAATCTTCCTTCAGGAAATCCAATGCTGAAGGATGGTCAAGGTCGACAGACTGTGAAACATCAATGATGTACAAGTGTCCCTGCACAACAAGCAAATAAGAATGAGGAACCTGGTTAACAGGGAAATAAAAGAGGTTAAAGAGGCTTAATCAGAAGTGTTCAACTACCTCAAAATAAAGAATGTTGTATTCACTCAAATCACCATGGACAAGCTTGCACTTTTGGTAAAGTGTCCGCATGGTTGTAACAATCTGAAAATAAGCTGCAGTAAGTATATTGGAAAATGGTATGATAAGAGTATGCACAATCTAATGTTTGGTACTATGTGGTTCCTTGTTCATTCTTCTATATGAAAAGACCATATTCAGCCGGCATTTCAACTGGTAGTTAATCTTTGCATGCATCATGTACCTCAAAGTAAGTTTCACGCAACTTGTCATCCGACAAAGCAGCATCCTTAAGACGAGGAGCAGCCCAACCTCCTTTTCCTGAAGGAGAACCAACTCAATTTATTAGACGCACTGATAATACCTTTGAAAGTACTGTTCTGTGGGATGTTCTGCTACAAGGCCTATGTTTTGAACAATTATTAGGTCATGGTATGATACCATTTCTGTAGGAAAATGTTGATAGGCATTGAATAAGCAAATGTCACCACAAGTTTTACCTATAAATTCCATCACCAAAACATGAAGCCTCAAGAGCAACGGCTTCGGGCATCGGATTCCTTCTGCTCTAACTCTGAACAAGAGAGAGAAGTGCAACTCTTTCTATTTCAATAACTGAAAGCATTTTGCGAAGTATTGCAGAAGAAGATAAAAATTATATAAAGTGAGAATTTAATTTAGAGAGAGACAGAACAAAATATAGGATAGCAACAGCTTATGCCACCAAATGCATCCCCTTTTTCCCCAAAAAATCAAACCCAGTTCAACAACAGAATCCCATTGAGAAACATCTTGCCAAATTACTTGGAATGAAAATCATGAATAAAGCATGCTTAATGAGAATATTTCATACCGTAAAAGATTCCGCATTTCCTTTTCAGCCCAGGTCTTTACCATTTTCCGAGGATTATGCTTGCAGTAACCATGTCTAAAACGATAATCTCCTTGAACGTATCGATCTCTATCCCTGCAACAAGGAAGTGTGCACTCTGTTCACACGGAAACCTTTTTGAATCAAAACAATTTAGAAGTACTTGAAGGATACAGCAAAATGCCCATAAACAGCCTTCTGATGTAGCTTTGAGTATCCAGTTATAAGACAAAGCAAGTATAAAATCTATATCTTACTTAAAAACAAGCACTGAAGTTTTATAGACTTTAATTGCTAACTCACTGCCATCTGTCTTTGTTGCATGATATACATTTGCCTACAAAGGAAAAAAACAAATCAACTGCCACAGTTAATATTGAGTGTATTATTCTAATTATGGATATATAGAATGATGAAGAAAAAAATGCAACTTGTAGTATGGGATGCCTTCTCCATGTTCCTCTGTCAACAGCTAAAGTAGCGCTATGCTCCAGTCACTTATCTCATAACATTATTTTTAAATCCGCAGGTGCAATGAAATTGGCAAGTAGCAGATGCCTTTGCGCTACGATGTGCGCTGCAAATTGAAGATTACCTCTTTTCCGGTAGAAATGCAACCATTTATGTTATTAAAAACACCACGGTTTAACATTTTGAACAAAACCATGCGGGTTCTTGGGTCAATAGCCTGCATATAAAGAAAATATTAAATGTTCAGAATAAGTACTTCACTAAAACATCATTCATTACATAGACTATAGAGTTAAAGCATGTTTTTGTCTTTCCCAGTTATTCAAAATTTATAACTTTATCTGGATGGACGAATGAGCAAGTATGCCCTGCCTATAAGAACTGCAATTATCGTGCAATCATAAGATCAAGTAATCAAATCACATGTGCAATAGAGAGCATTCTTTTGAGGCCCACAATGACAAGAAATATTAATTAAACAAATTGCAGAAGAGGAAAAGAAATAGATCAGATCACCCCCTGCTTTTCAGCATTGAAGCAATGGTACCTAATCAGTCAGGAGAACTCATAAACAAAAATGCAGTAGGCACCAAAAAGAGCGATGTTCAAACTTCAGACTAACAAATTTCTGCTTCACGAACTTACACAACAGGCAATAGAAAATGAAGCGGAACTCAAGTCTGATGAAGGTATACAATAAGTTACAACCAAGATTTATAAAGCTTTTTTTTTGTTCAAGTAGTCAACAGCGGATTAATGCTGCAGGAGGATGGGGCTATTGATGAAGATGTGAACCATCGAATCAAAGCCGGATGGATGAAGTGGCGCCAACCTTCTGGCATTCTCTGTGACAAGAGAGTACCACATAAGCTAAAAGGCAAGTTCTACAGGACGGCGGTTCGACACGCAATGTTGTATGGCGCCGAGTGTTGGCCGACTAAAAGGCGACATGTTCAACAGTTAGGTGTGGCGGAGATGCGTATGTTGAGATGGATGTGTGGCCACACGAGGAAGGATCGAGTCCAGAATGATGATATACGAGATAGAGTTGGGGTAGCACCAATTGAAGAGAAGCTTGTCTAACATCGTCTGAGATGGTTTGGGCATATTCAGCGCAGGCCTCCAGAAGCTCCAGTGCATAGCGGATGGCTAAAGGGTGCAGAGAATGTCAAGAGAGGTCAGGGTAGACCGAATTTGACATGGGAGGGGTCCGTTAAGAGAGACCTGAAGGATTGGAGTATCACCAAAGAATTAGCTATGGTGAGGGGTGCGTGGAAGCTTGCTATCCACGTGCCAGAGCCATGAGTTGGTCGCGAGATCTTATGGGTTTCACCTTTAGCCTACCCCAACTTGTTTGGGACTAAAGGCTGTGTTGTTGTTGTTGTTGTAGTCAACAGCGGATTAATGGTGCCATTTCAGCCACCTATATACCCAGGAATGCAGTGGGTTTGGGAATATGCTGCGATGGGAGGTTGAGCAGGAACTGCAATAACTTCAATAGGAATTTATTCATGTACATCAAACCAACGTTTTATAATCTAGCACTAATAAATAAAATTTGATTTACTGCATACTTGATGAGGGGAGAAACTTTTAAAACAGACAACCACTTGACAGAAAGCAGATTAGGGTGAAAGGCTACGGGATTGATTCTTAATTTGCTACAGAAATAGTATGAAAATGCACGGATTCAACTCCCAAGCAGAGAATGAAATAAGCAATTAAGCATCACTAAACAGCAAAAAAATGTACAGACCTGTTCAACTGTAGCACGATCTGCCTTCCCAGTGTTCCTTGTTTTCCCAATTGCAGTATCCCTTATGCTGTCCCTGATTGCAGTCGTCACGGAATTTGACATCCCCACGTTCATTCTACCTTCCCACTCCTGAGTGGTTCAAAACTCACGACATCAAATGATCAGCAAAAAAAGCTACAACACCCAGATGAATAAAGAATGACCAGTGTTTCGTTCAGATAACAATATCCATATGTTAAGGCAGCGGGGTCACATAAAATTCAGTACTGCAGCAGACATCAAAACTTGAGCTGAATTATTTCAGTTATTGGTTTGCAGAGTGACGCTGGAAACTTAGAATATCCCTAGCTGATACTACTAGGCCTGGCTCTAATATGAAGTGCAACTGTTCTCTTTAGTAATTTTAGGTAAACAACTTTGACCAGAAGATAGTGAACCACTGAACCCTAGTCCTTGATAGCATACGCCCATAAATAAAAGTTAGTAATACAGCACAGGCCGATCAGAACTAATCCAAGGTGAGTTGAAAGAGCATACCTCCAAGGGAGCAGCGCGGACGTGCGAGGCCAGCTTCTGTGTGCGGTTGGAGAGTGGCTGGAGTGTGCGCGCGAGCATGCCGCCGTGCGCGTTCGGCCTCCGCGCCGCAGCGGCGCTTCCGGCGGCCGAGAATGTTGAGGAAAGACGCGTCGAGCCATCCGGGCCCTCCGCGGCGTCGAGCCAGTCTAGGGCTTCACCCACGTCATGGTAGGACCAATACTCCTCGTCATCGTCCTCATCGTCGTCCTCGTCCTCCTCCGCATCCACCTCCGCCTCCGCGGGCTTCTCGGATGGTGCTGCTGGTTTCTCTTCGGCATCCGCAAAGCGCCCATCCAACTCGCCCTGCTGCAGGGCGAAGGTCCGGGGGTGGTGCAACGGTAAGGCGGCTGTGGCGGCGGCGGTGGCCATGGCTGTGCGCTTCTGCGGGAGCAGCGAAAAATCGAGGGCACGGTAGGAATGGGACCTATCCATGTAGGCCGGTATGCCAGTAACGCATTAGTCGCGTACACGGCCCGAAGAACTGTATCCCGTGATGGAAATTCGGCCCACCAAGCATGGTATATATCAACACTGCGCACGCGGAATCGTTTTCCTCCTGTCCCTCGCGGCGGGAAACCCTAGCCGCCGCCAGGAGACCCAATCTTTCAGCACCGTCTTCCGGCGGCTCCCCTCCACTGACGGCCTCGGTCGTCGGTGGTGAGGGGGGTCGCCGGATCCACGCGTGTGGATCGTTTTTACTCCCTCGTAATTTTAGATTTTTTGGTTGTTCATCGTCTTTGTTTCGACGGCGACGATGACAATGCTGAATAAAGATTCTTTGGATCCTTCTTTGACAAGGTCATTGGTCCTATGGTTGGGGATGGATTTGGAAATCAGTCTGTTCAAGCAAGGATGGCGTGGCGGCGGCGGCATCCTCGTGGTGGACCTGTGTCCTCGGGCTCCGCCGTTGCGACGGCGTTTGCTCCAGCGTCGGCGCGGAGCTTGGGAGATAGTCCAGGAGCGGATGCAGTTTGTGGTCTGTATCGACGACATCTGGAAGACGGAACATGTGTTGGGTTCGTGGTTCGTGGATGGCAGGTATGGTTTCCTTCCGCGACGTCTTAGTCGTGGTGGGGTGCCAGATCTGAAGTTCGATGGCGTGTCCGGGGTATTGCCCCGGTCTGATTCGTTCAACGGTAAGGGCTTCACTTTTGGTGAGCCACCTTGGAGGTCCGCAAAGCTGCACATCAGCGATGGAGCCGCGTCGAGCTCGGGTGAGGAGGTGATCCATCATTCTTTTCTTTGGTGGCTGCTGTCGTGGTGTCGGAGGCAGGTGATGGGCGTTGGTGTCAAGCTCAAAGATGTTCTGCTATCTTTTCAGTTTTGTCATGTCGGTTTTTACGTGACTTGTATTTTAATCTTTATGATATGAATGAGACACGTATTAACATGCAAAAAAAAACATGTATATATCAAAGGGGGCCAAACGTGGCCCGTCTAGGGCCGTGGTTGGGTGATTCTGTGAGGCCTTCTCTCGTTTCACCATGAATTTCGAATCCGAGCTACACAAAAGAGGGGAATTTCCGGGGACCTCCTATACCCCGCCTTGCCCCACACTGGATGGGCCGGCCCACGATCGCGCAACAAGCAACGCGAAAAATGACCGGCAAAAATACCTCTGGAGTAGGATTCGTTCTCGCGCCCCTGCGCACCACACGGAGAGGCTTGTTGCGCGAAAAAACGATGAACTTTTGAATTCGCGCCCCAAGTTCTCGCGCCCCTGCGCACCACGGCACTAGCTAACTGCTAGTGACAATTCACAGCGCGAAATCTTTAAAGAATAGAAATGTGGACGCACTATTTATTGTGCATTACACTGTAGCGTTTATATTTTCCAAATATTTGAAAATATGTTCACATATTACAGATGGAGTTCATGAGCATGCAAAAAAAATTCGCATATTCAAAAATTAGTTCACCAACTCGAAAAAGTTCATGTATTCGAAAAACAGTTATGAATTCAAAAGAAGTTCATCGGTTTTGAAAAAATGTTCATCGAATTTGGAAAAAAGTTCATCGATTTGAAAAAAAGTTCATCGAATTTGAAAAAAGTTCACCTAAATTGAAAAAAGTTCATCTATTTTGAAAATAAGTTCATGTAAATTGGAAAAAGTTCTTCGATTTTGAAAATAATTTCATGGATTTTGAGAAAAAGTTCATTGATTTTGTAAAAAAAAGTTCATCGATTTTAAGAAAAAGTTCAGAGTTGTAAAAAATTCATCAAATTTGAAAAATAAGTTCATCTATTTTGAAAAAGGTTCATCAATTTGAAAAAAGTTCACAAGTTTCGAAAAAATCATTTCATAGATTTAGAGAAGAAGTTCATCTATTTGAAGAAAACAATTACAAATTTCGAAAAAAGAAAGTAAAAAAGGATAGAGAAAAAAGAAAAGAAAAAGGAAAAAGGAAAAAAGAAGAACAAATAAATGGATGAAAACTTGTATGCTACTACATCTCGTGAAGTGGTCGAGTTGGTTATATGTCGATACCTGATAACCCGCGTCGCAGATTCAAATCCTAGCTTGCGCTCCTTTTTTGCAGTTTTATCTAGTGTTTAGAAAACAGAAAAAATAGGAGTTGGGTCGAGCCCAGGTAGCGCCGCTGCAGGAGCCGGTTTGCGGAAACAGCTATAACCGGCGCCTGCAGCGCCAAATAGGAAATGCCCAATTTTCGAGGAGAGCGGGAGGTGTATGATGCTCGCAGCGACCCTATCCTCCAGCCATTGTCGTGTCTGCTTGTCCTTGCTACAGCTACAATGGGGTATTTAAATGTTTACAAGGCCCAAGGCCCATTATGGGCCCGCAAGCCGAGCAGGCGGTCGAGGCTTGTGAGTGGGCCGCCCCTTTGAACTTGCTTCACTTCCTTCCCGCACCTGACAATCCCTCCAGAGCAAGATGCGGCTTGCCCCCCAAGCCGGCACGCGAGGGGACAATTGCTTGAGTGCTTCCAAGTCTTCCCAGGTGGCCAGTTCTTCAAAGCTATCGGACCACTTGATGAGTGAAGAATCTTCTTAACACCGCGAGAAACCACTCGTTGTCGCCTGATCTATTCAGGAACTTGAAGGTTAGGTTAGGGACAGTGATACGTCTGCAACATATCTATAAACTTTTTATTGTTTTATGCTATTATATTATCAATCTTGTATAATTTATATGCTTTAATATGCACTTTTATATCATTTTTGAAAACTAACTTATTAACCCAGTGCCTAGTGTCGGTTATTGTTTTTTGCCTGTTTTGGTTTTTCAGAAAATCAGTACCAAACATAGTCCAAACGCTACGAAACTTTTTGATGATTTTTTTGGACAAAATAGACCCTAGAAGCTTCGGGAGTAGACCAGACGGCAAACGAGTAGACAACAAGGCAACTGGGAGCGACGCGGTGAGTAGGCGTGGCACGCCCTAATGCCTTGGGGCCCCACGTGGCTCTATCTGACCTAATTCCACTTTTATAAATTTTCAAAGCTTGGGAAACCAACAGAGAGCCACCCAAAACAATTTTTCCGCTGCCCGAAACCAACAGAGAGCCACGCGGAACAGAGAGCCACCCCTGATTTCACTAAAGGCCGGTTTCCCA